TACCACCCAAGGTACACGACTGTTTGAATGTCTTTCTCGCTGGACGAATTTTCCTATTAAACACTTTATTATCATTCGAAAGCTTTGATCTCTGCGTTTTCAACAATGCGTTTGGTTTCCGAAAAAGCCGTTTCATTACGTTGTAACAGCAACATTAAAATTATGTTGCTCAGTTTGCTTATTTGCTCGGCTAAGGGCTTGTAAGTGGCTCTTTGCTAAACTCTTGATAGTCGTTCGATGGCCCAAATCCCGAAAACTCCGATGCTGTAATTGATTGTTCGAATGATTATCACAAAACTCTGTAAGAGCGAAAAGAAGATTACGTTTTGTACTCAAAGTTTTTATCGTACAGAAAAGCTAAATATGTATCAAAAATACATATGCATGTAGAGAATTCTTGAAGTATGAGTAACACATAAAACCTAAGGTTTTAGTTCTCAAACAAACGAGAAACCCTAATTGAATGACGAAAATCGCGCGCCTCTTCCAAGTTACGCTGTGCGGCCGATCAACTGCCATCATTTAAGGAATAAATACCTTTGTACCGTATCTAAGAAGATCGTATGGTCCGTGCCGAGAACGGCTCTTCCAAGAAAAGTGGAGGTACGGCCTATTCGACAGTGATGTAGCTCAAAGATGCCTTAGTGAATGGAAGGCATCGATAACTGCTATAAAAATCTCCCTTTGATCACATGATTACTTAGAAAAGGGAACTCCACATGCAGTTCGTCGGCGAGAACCTCGAGTGAAGACACTCCATAATTCAAAAGGATTTTATCTGTGGTGGAGCGGGAAGCTAAAAGAAAGCTATTCTGTAATCCTCGATTTCACCCTCTCTTTTAATTTAGAACGACCGCGACTTGTCGAAAGTTCTATTCAAGTTGAACTTCTGTGCATTCAATCGATAGCATGGAACTATGTTTCCATTATTCTTAAATGTTCTTTGCTCCAACGTTTCGAACATATGTGCAACGATTCTTGATTTCCTTAATTTGATCTGCATATTAGACGGATTGATCATTTAAGAAGAAAATTTGTCGGCAAATTAATTCAAGCTTCAAGTACGAGTCGATTCCTGTAAAATGTGTGCCTCAGCTTTAATTCCTTCACGACTATCTGAGTATCATAGATCAAATTAGGCTGTTTTTATTCAACCGCTTTTTTTTGCGGTGGTATAATGTTATTGATATATACCCAGTGTTACAGAGTGATGTGCAAAACTTTCGCGTCAGGCGGGACTAGAACCCGCACCTCTTTCTTTCCAGGAATGCGTGCTCTATCCGTTACACTACTGACGCCCATCTTACACATCGCTCTTTCTAAATATCTGAGTATCTTTCTGTACAGACTGTCCTTTGAATTAGCTTATCAAATGAACCTGTTTGGAGTCTCTTAAGCTCCTCTAGGCACTTTTCCATCTTATAAACTGATTGATAAAAAGACGATTTCTATAAAGCGAATCATTGGACCAAAAAAACTACCAATTACTGAACCTACACTGACTTATTTAAACTTTACAAAGACTAAACGTGGCCAACTGATGAATTATTTTGTTGCAAATATCCATCCGGGCAGCTCTGGTATTGATTTTTCGCCTTCGAAAGAATGAAAGTCTTGGTAGCCCGAATTGCTGGATCGTGCTATCGACGTGATTGTAGCACTTCATCTCTAACTACTCTAACCTACGATGCTACGTCACATTATACATTCACTTGTGGATTCAAATTATCAGAACTAGTCACATTTAGCTACACTTGATGTTCATGAGAGTATGTTTTTTCTATGCATTATCAAGAAATCGGCATGCTTCATTGAAATGGAAAATTAGGTTTTCTACAGAAAGTCAAATACATTTTTGATACCGAAGAAGAAAGAACAAATGTCCTCCCGTGGGCCCTCAGCAGTCTTAACGGATACCTCAAAGCTATACGTTTTGAGTGGTTTCTATGATATTCCTCACTGCAGTTGGCTCAATATGTCTTTGAAAAATTCCATATTGCGGGAAGCATGTGTACTTTGGACAGCAGGTTATTCGTAATGAACAAGTTTTCCAATCTCGTCTGAATCCGTCGTATTAAGGCAAATTTTAATATTTAAACTTTTATTGAAATTTTACCAATTGATGATTATGTTTCGTTGGCTGTAGCAAAGACGCTATCAATCGAAATCAAAATGCTTGAAGATGAATGGTATTGTGTAATGGTCATGATCTTTTGAAGATGATCTAGTAGTTCTGAAGTTCTTATCCTATTAAGGAAAGTGGAAAAGCTCGAAAGAGGCCACTGTGCTCAAAGATGTTGTGAGGAGTACAGCGCAATATATTATCTATATGCATTGTTGCTGAATGTGAAGCACATCAAGAGCATTGTTGGTAAACTTGAAAGGTAAGTAAAAGATAAAGCTCTCAACATTGATCAATTTCTGAGGGATGCCCATGTAATCGACGCCATTAAAGATCGTTGGAGGTGATTAAATGGTTATTCGGCTTTTGCAATAGCGCGTGGTGGCCTACTGCTGTATCAAATTAGCTCTGCTATCCTCTCAGGTAGGTCTGGTGTCACTGTGCCAACCCCGGAGAGGTGGAAGGAGTGGTTATCTTTGGGCGTAGGATCGAACCATGAACCGCGTGAATGTCACAGGTCACCTCTAACCACTGTGCTATAAGCTTCCCTGGATTTATGTCGGATAATCGCCTTGTGACATTTTGCGAATTGGACACGTTATGAAGATGGATGAAGCGCAGATTCATGACGGATTATCGCATGTCACTCTCATAATGATGAGAAAATAAATGGGCTCGAATCTTCTACGTTAACGGTAAGCATACCTTCTCACTCGTTCATCACTCGGCAAGTACCGTTACAATCAACAGTTCAGTTGTGATATTTGGCAGTGATTGTGATTTTTTATTAAGCTAAAAACGTCTGCTATCTATTTACATTATCAGTTATTTATTATATTATCGTTTATTAATTATGAGACTACCTGCGTTATTGATGTGTCAAGTCGTGAACAACATGGGTGGCCTAAAACTATGGGCACATCCTCTTCAGAAAATAAGGCGTTCGTTTTTACAGCAGAGCTTCATTAGCACTACTGGCGATCCACCGTTTTCCATGAACAGAGTTATGTAAAAAATTTGCGTTTCAAAGAAGGTGGAATTGACACAATGTTCGCTATTCAATCACAGTGACAACAACGAGAACAACGACTACCGAAATTAACCTCTCGTCAGCTTAATAAGGGCAGTCCTTAAACATCTAATGTACCGCATGAGCATAATTCATATACGACTGAACAGATATTTAAATGCGGCGATCAAGAAGTTCCTTTTCCGGGCCTAGATTCCTTCTCGTTTCGTTTCCTTCTAGTATTGAACCTTGGAACGATGATCTCGAGAAGCTCAGTGAGCTTCACCTATTTCACAACCCACCGAAAATATACACTAAAGTGGATAAAGGATAACGGATAGAGCTCTCGGCGTTGATCAATCCCTGAGGGATACGTCATGCATTCGTGTTTAAATTTCAACTTCGTTTGAGGTGATTGAATGTATTTCTGGCATTTACAATGACTCGCGGTGGCCTCCCGCTGAACCGAGTTAGTGCTGTTTATCCTCCTAGACCACCCTGAGACCATCTGGTAACAATTAATCAGACCCTGAAGGGATGGATGGTTTGGTGAGCCATGAGTGCGAGATCGAATCAATGACCTCATGTGCGACGCAAAGCATCCCTAACCGCTGCGCTCTACACGCGCTTCACCGGACTGGGTACATTTAGATATTAACGCTCCAGTCAACGTTTTTTAGGTGTTAACTTAAATGTCACGAACTTCCTGTTTCAAAAAAACTAAAAGAGGCTGGCAGATGCACTTCAAAAATTAGGTGTTAAGATCTATTTCATTCTACACGACGCACTATCACAATTCTCTCTGAGGACTGCAGCACTTCTGGCATTCAACTCTTTTCCCCTCATTCATGCTCTACAAAGGTTTTCGAGTTTTTTATGTGTTGATTCGGCTGCTGCTTGAGCATCTTGTTTTTTGGTGAATGTTCTGAAATACCGGTCGGGGAGATCTGTTTGCAGTCTTCAGAATAGCCAGGTACTAAGCCATTTCCAGGTGATTGAAAGAGATGTAGGGGGGAGGTCGAACCAGCGTATTGCTTGCATGGCTTCATGATAAGGCGCAACACTAATTACTAGGAGACGCTTCTCCTTCAACTCAAGTTTTTTTTTGCTTTATTTACTTTAAAGTTTTTGTCTTCTTTATAAATGACGCAGATTGCTGGCCGAGACGTTTTTTCTTGCAGTCTTGGATCTTACGTTGATTGACTGCAAAAGACCGTTGGATGAGGGTATCGAACCAGAGACTTGCTTATTATTTCATCACATTCATCGCATCACTAATCACAGCTCTTTGCCACCTCTGGATAATATTTACATATATTAATTATTTTTACCGAAGTATACATATTCTGAATCGAACACAACTGTATTTCTTTCTAATTAAGTCTGTGGCTAATACTCAAAATTTCTAGTATTTTAACTGCCTTTTTTTCCGCAGTGCTATAATGTTTCATATATACCTAAGAGATTGAGTGGGTGAGCAAAAACCAGACCTCAGACGGGAATCAAATCAGCGTTCCATCTATATCGGGTACTTGTCCTACGACTACACCACCAAGGTACATTCGAGCCACCTCCCATTCTTCAATATCTATGTGGTAGCTGTCAGCCACCAACCTTGAACACGTTTGGTCTGGTTTGTGATTCGCTTTATAAACCCAGTTGAGCTGGCAGCCATTGTGATAACTAATACCTGAAATTTCTAGTATCTTTTACTACTTTTTTCGCAGTGTTATGTTGTTTCATATATACCTAGGCGAAAAAAGGCAGAAAAAATTCTAGAAATTTTGAGTATCTTCTACCAAACCTGTTTAAGGTTGGTGGCTGACAGCTGTTATAGAGATATTAAGAATGAGTGGCTGGTGCGAATGTATTTCGGTGGTGTAGTGGTAGCACGCGTCCGCGCTATGGACGAAACGCCGGTTTGACTCCCGTCTGAGGTCGTATTTTTGCTCACCACTGATTCTCTAAGGTATATAAGTCTGTAGCACTAATCGTTAAAACAAGTTTTTTTAAAAGCATTTACATGCATTTTGCTTTCTTCAAAGTCGTCGATTCGAGTCGATTGCCCACACTCGTTCGCACCGTTGGGGGACTTCTCGTCTTCATTCTCGTCCAGGCGAATCTGATTGGATGGTCATTACTCAAAAGAAGAATCTCATTCGGCGGCGCCCTCATGCAGGATAGTAGTGATTGTCCAATGATGATATTAAATTTTCAGGGGATAATCCGTCCTATAACAGTCGATATAATTATTGGCTTGCACAAAGCTTGAAAGTAGTTACAGGTACAATCATCAAAGAGCATAGGTTGAATAATAAAGCCGAAGTTCAAGAAAATTACTTATTGTAAATAACAGGGGATCGCCGAGTGAGGGTTTTTCATACAAGCAGTTACATCCGAAGCAAAATCAACTCAATCGTCAACGAAGACGCAGATTACATTGAGGACGAACAACTATGAGCAATCAACTGAATTCGACGACTCTGAAGAAGAGGAAACGCGTTGAAACGTTAATCGAATGAATTTGTTTTCAACATCTCGTGCTATTGATTTAATCAACAAGGGATATATGATTGAAAATATTCCGAATTTGGAGGGAATTCGGTTTTGGAAATATTACGCAGATAATCAAATTAGTGATGTAATGATTTTTGCAGTCTTTTAATGATACGGCAATCTTCTATAAAATCCTGAATAAATGCTTCAATCGAGGATTAGCTCTTTGGATGTACAAAGCCAATCAATCTCGCAACATTATTTACGTTTTCGTATCAGAATGATAGTCCGTAAAATAAGAATCTAATCCGCATAGCTTTTCGCAAAGGCTTCGCCTTGTGATTGGATAGCGTTTCATCGAATTGTGTTTCTCATTGTATTCCTATTCTCCTTTTTCGTTTTTTAACAGATCTTTAACAAAATTCGGTGTTGAGTCACAATTTTTTGGGTCCTCATGGTTGAAATACACAAAACTTTGCCCAACAGTATCATATTTGAACACTACAGTGTGCATTCAACCATTCCATCTAGTGCTCGAGGTGTCGTTCAACTTGGAAATTATTCATAGTCTGCTTTTCCGTGGTTTTATACAGAATGCACCTTCTGGAATGGTCAGTTCTTGAGATTTACTATGTATCGTCATTACCATTAGATCGAATCGAGCGCTCAGGCTAAGCATTCTTATGTGAGACGAGAATTGCTTGCAAACCTTGAGAAGGAAAAAAAATTTAAGTACTTTTCCGTCTGATAGTACAGTTTTCTGAGCCTTTCCCTTTTATTATATATTAACTCTTCTTAAAGAGTGTCAGTGATCATTGGAAATCATCAATCTTTGGCTAGCACGGTAGATGCTCATTATCCGAAAGAGCCTATTTTTAATGCTTCAGCTAGTAAAAAGATATGCGTTTCACGCGCGCATAATTCTCGCAGTGCAGAGCTCATTCTCCAGACTATTAGTATCACTAATTATTCAATATTGTAAAATTTAGCGATTCCAGCGCTGTTCTTATTTTCTGGAGGGACTGTTTCTCTGCAGTGTAGCAGGGAAAATAAGAGATTCACATACGCAGCTATGTGCTTTTTTGGCCATTTCACGGCCTGCGAGGTGGGGGAAGGAGTAGGGGGTCGCTGCGGTATCCATCGAGGGAGCTTATGTGAAGGGTGATTTTTGTTATCTGATCAAGAACTGTTTCTCTGCTTTGGAAGAAAACTCCAAACCAAACGTCTGACACTGATACTAAAAGATTTTCGCTACACGTTTATGTGCTTTTCGTGCTTTCAGCGAAGTGACAATTGAGTTGCACAGCTATGTAAAACATAATCTAATTCTTAATGCTACAGCGCAAAAAGAGTCTTTCAACAAATCGGCCACGAAAGGCTTAAACCAGAGATTTTTGCTTTCTAATCATTACTGAAACTGTTTAAGGGAACTTCTTGTACAGCGAAAGGGATAGGCTTAGAAATCAGCGCTACCAAACGGAGGTGAAGCAAAATTTCTCTTACTGTGTGCATGCAATTTTGCAGAGAGCGTGGTGTGGTAAAGCTGATTCTCTAATTAATGCGTATGACGCCGAAAATTTGAAAAAGGGCCATTTGCATAATAATCTCACCATTGTCCTTGATTCGCGCCATTCCAAGAAGTCATCACATAAGGTTTCGTCATGAAAAAATTGAAGCGACCGTTTTGTTCGGTCGAAAGCAACACGAGCGAAGCCAGCCACGAATAGCTGTTGTTACTCAGCAGGCAAACGATTAATTGCACTTCGTCGTATCTTAAGAAAACCTGCATTACTTTTCCTGTCTTCTTTCGAAATTAGTGTTCCAAATGAGTGCTAGAATTCGCCTCTTGAATTCCACGGGAGTGATTAAGTACGACGTGGTTTTACAACGAAATAAGCCCTCTATGATAACTGAAGTCATTCATCTTTTTCACATCCCAGTGCTCTTCTTTTCTTAACTCCATGCGCTAATGAATTTCTAAGCAACTCAGTGCTCATTTAGTTTTTATACCCCTCTGCTTGGAAAACAAACATGGCTAACATATTCCTTCATTTTGAAAGACATTTCATCAACATATCTCCTCATTTTCATCTTATTGCTCTTCTTTGGGATGCCTTCACTGCTCTTTGCATGCTACTTTTATAGCGCTGTTTTCTGAGTTCAAGATCAACGTTGGCGGACTGTCATGCAGTGATAGTGCGATTTTCCTGTTGACACACAACCGTGATTTATATGGCCTTGCATTCATTTCAACTCGTGCCTGCTGGTATATATACGTTGGTTTTTCAATTTTTGAGCAAAAATATCCCAGGCCCATGGTGAAGTTTTTTATTTGAGCATAAACTACTGCAACTTATAACGCTTTCGTATGTGATACATGTGTTCTTGCATAACCAGTGAACAAGCACGATTTCGCCCAGAAGAATGCATTGACGTCTGCGGCTGCAGCGTTTTCGTCTAAAAAAACTGGAATTTCCAACTTTTTCTTATTTTTCTGAAGAAAGCTTCCAATACTCGAAATTTCTAATTTTTTTTAATGCATTTTTCGCAGTGTCATGATGTTTCGTATATACTCAAGAGAAATGACTGGTGAGTAAAAAATTCGGCCTCAAACAGATGTCGAATCCGCGTATCATTCTAACAGGGAGCTCGTGTTACCACCATACCACCGAGGTACATTGGAACCACCACTCTTTTTTTGAAATCTCTATGATAGCTGTCAGCAACCAACCTTTAACAGGCTTGATCGGATATGCGATTTCGCTTTATAGGTCCAATTAAGCTGACCTCAAGCGCTCACATTACAGAAAAACGTGCCAACGTTCGTAAAAGAAAGTGTCTGTTGTTAGGGTAATAAAGAATTCTCTTCGTGAGCAAGTAAAAGGAAAGCTGGCCGTGGAGAATTCAATGAGCAATCACTTTTGATATGTGTTTTTCGGAAAACTTCGGTCTACAGTGTGCACACCCCAAGGCAAGTCGCAGACAGAGACCATTCAGAGGCGAACTTCTTCTTTACCAAGCCGCTGCTAATTATCTACCTAACATGTATCAGTAGTTCTTTGCTCAATCCGTAGAGCACTTGAAAAGACCGATACAATAGACAAAGAGACGTCCATGTTGCCTCGCTCGTTATGGAGATTCAGCAAGAAATAGGAAGCTCAGAACTGCTGGAAAGCGTGCCAAAAGCGTAAACATCGACTTCAGTCAAAACCATGAGCATTCATATTAGTATTGCTTTATATTTAAACTAAAAAAAGTGCAATTTTGCTACTCTACAAAAAATTTGATGGCATTGTTTTTAAGTTGCTTTAGTGAAGGAATCTATCAATTCAATAACGTGAAGGCGGTATCCCACGTGAATAATCTGCAGCACAAAAAGAAATCTGCAAAAGTTTTGGCCGTGTTGCGCATTGTAAATGCCCCATGTATGCCTATTGGGTTGTTAGCATTCGTAAGCCGTTCACTGAAAATCAGTCTGAATCGCAACTTCAAATGATCTTTTCAGTTCGTCCAGACTTATACATCGTGTACTCCGCTACTATCAGTTGTAGGGATGAATCGAAAGGCATGTGGTACAGATGAGACGTACGAGTAACGCCAAAACGTACGTATTCCACTCCGAATTTCATACCAGATCTCTGGAACCCGTAAAAATTTCTATCATAATTATACTGAATTTCGAGCGAGGTCTCAAGCAGAGTCTGTCAGAAGTTATTGCTATATTTGAAATCACGTTTGTGAGTCATGGATGTCTTACACGGCTTGGATATATGTGCTTTAAGGGGATTTCTTAGCACTTTTTCGCATTTACATTAGCATTCTTCGACATTATCAGTCTACTCTGGATTTTTAACACCTAATTAACGAAGTCTATTGGATAACCGAAAAAACATGGATAGGATGCAATTACATTTTCCGTCTAAGCTGTCAATTTGTAGAAGTCGATGCGGATGTTTCGTCTTTTTTCTTCACCGATGCCGCTTAGAAGCACTGATTGAAAAGGCAATGAGCCGAGAAGACTTATTCTATTCCATTAAGTGTCCATCTTTTTTTTTAATAAAAATCTTCGTAATTATCCTTTTTATGATGTTATTTTCGCTTTCATTTCTCCTTGAGCGATTCCCCTTTGCGATACGGGTAATGAGTATCAATGACACGATCTCATCTCCTACAGACCACTTCTGCAGCTTAGCCGTGAATGTGGAGGTTTTTTTCTCTTTTATGATCTCAGGTTGAACTGTGTTCATGTAATAGCTGTCGCGAATTGATTTTGATCCCCTAAAGTTACTTATCCTTGAACGAAAGAGAAAAAAAAAACAAGCAGACATTGGAACGACGGTTTAGAAAACCGAATCTCTATCGCTTGCGATTACTGGCAGCTAGGTAGACATTGATTTTGGTTCCCCCTAAAAATCACCTTTGAAGAACAGACTACAAAGAAAGG